GTGTACAAGGTGTGTAACCGATACCAGCTGGCTAATCACCTAGCCTGAATAGCAGGCGTATTTTGCTGTGCGATCGATTTGGACTTTCGACTGACTGAGAGTTGGGGCGAGTCAAAAAATGATTCAATACAATAAAACGCCTGCTCTAAAGCTATAATTCACCTATGTGGAGAAGAAGGAGCACAAATGTTTAAAGAGTCTGCAGTCGATCTTAATTCTGCATTTTACCCCTAGCCTGCATTTTACTCTCAGTCTGTAGTCTGCATTTTACACTCAGTCTGCATTTTACCCCTGGTCCGCAGTCTGCAGTCTGCAGTCCGCAGTCTGCGTTTTACACTGACCGCAATTGAAATAACAGGTCATTGTATTCCTCTTCCAGATAAGGTAAATCGACTGAATGCACCCTTAAGCATACTCGGCCACTTTATTTGCACTTTAAACCTAGACGAGGAATAACAAAGGGCATACTTGTCATTCAAAGAAATGCAAGTAAGCGGCCGGGTATTCTAAAGTTAATAACAATGGAACGAGTTTTAACACGAACTGATACGAGGAAGCGCAGGGAGTGGAGTGAGCTTCCTCTTACCTCAACAACTCGGTGGTATTAAATGCCATAACAGGGTGCAAAGAAAATCATTTTTACAGCTTGCCATTCGCGCAAGCTGAAGCTAACATTTACTATAGCCCAAACATCATTTCAACTTGCCCCAAAAACGTTTCGATGAGCGGATTGATTTCAAAGTTCTTCGGTAATTTGAATTCCTCCAAAAACTTCACTTGCCCGTATAGCAAGATCCACTAGCCCCGGGCTATCGGACACTACTTTCTTTACACGCTGCATAATCACGCGTGCACTTTCTATGAAGTATTCTATATGTAATATACATCTCTTACCTAAGGCTGCTGATCTGAGGAAGGAAGCGTTTGATGAATTTCCTCTAAATACGGCGATTGTTCTTCAGCTTCTTTCACGGAATGCACTGATTACATTTCTTGGCTGACTTCCAGTTCATTCCTCGTTCCCAGGGTCTCTCTGCCGAATGCATGCTAATCAAATGTTAAAGAATTTCACGACATTGCATAATTTAGTACAATCAGAAACTCATGAGTTATGAGTTTCTGGTACAATCCAAAGAGAATTTGTTTTAGTTTTCTTTGCAGTTGACTTAAATATATTCTTGTTAATGTGTCTTGAAAAGGTTTGCCACAGTGTGATTTATTGCGCTGCAAGGCCGATAAAGGTAATTTTACAAGTACTTTTTATTCACGAGTTTACGGGTTGAATAATACAGTTAAACATTAACTAGTCTCCTCTGCCCAAGTATTAAATTTATTCATTTATTTTTATTGTCATTGCTAATATTTTTTTCCAAATCGATCGCTTGGAGCTTTCTTTCAGAGATTCCGTTTCCGTTTCTGTTTCCGTCTACGTGATTCCTTTTCCAGATTCCAGATTCCAGATTCCATCTTTCACGCCCGGGGGACGAGGGACACTACGGGTGCGGGTAAAGTAACCCTCGCGTATACGGATAGAAACGAGTAAGCTACCAGGTAGAATGGTTATGCCATTATTACATCTGGGAAACAATGGTTGCCTTTTATAAAACTACGAGGTAAACATGTTTGTTTAACCGTACCAGTAGGCGCTGAAACCGTCCGGTGTATAGAGGTCACTACTCTCTTATTTCGCCTAGACGGGTATATTTGCTGAAGCTTAAAGGGACATCTGAGTTTGACTTGAAAAATCGGTGTTTGTTTTGTTGAAAATCGGAGTTTGTTTTCAAAAAATTGAATTGGAAAATCGAAGTTTGCTTTAAGAAAAATGGGAGTTTGTTTTCGGACATGGGAGTTTGAATAAAGGAGTTTGCTTTCGAAAATGGGAGTATGTTTTGGAAAATGGAAGTTTGTTTTCGAAAATCGGAGTTAAAAATGAGAATTTGTTGTCGAAAATCGGAGTTTGACGTATGCGCTTGTTCGGCGAGAGTCGCTTGAGCTTTGGTCCCAGACTGTGCGCAGGGTTCGATGTTTAGACATTGACGAAATGGAGGTCAATGCTGAAGCAACGACGACAAGAAAACAACCTTTCTGAACCTGACCCAAAACCAGGTCAAAGATCTCCAATACTGACGCTCTGCAAAAGAAGAAAGAAAAGAAGGAAAACAGAACGCGTAACCACCTGTCCACCTTTAACCAAAAATACGAATCACAGGATCACAAAGAAATTAGAACCGAAAACGCCGCTACCAGGGGCGGATCCAGGATTTTTTCAGGAGGGGGTGCACTCGTCTCTTGCTCTACTTCAACACCAATAAACCACAAAGTTTTTTTTTTTCTGAAGAATACCAGTTGTATTAGAAAACCGCAGGTAATCTCAGGGGGGGGGTGCACCCCCGGCCCCCTCCCCCTAGATCCGCCCCTGGCTACAGTGAAGCACTTTCAGAAGAAAAAATAATAGAACAATTAGAGGAGGCTTTAAAAGCACTAAATAGGCATTCCCAAAGAGGAACATGTCCAAAGACATTACAATACAAAGCAAGAGCAGACGAAGCCTTTAAAACAGTCATTAATAAGATAAGAAAGACGACAGAGCAAGAGGTGGTTAACTATGTGTTAACGCCCTCATCAGGTACCATGAAAGCAGAATCGCTGAATGCAAGAACACTTAAGCAGCAAAAGAGGCCCATCCTGAATTAAGAAACTGTTAACAAGAAATCAAAGAATTTTTAAAAAAGTTCAGCGAGTTCAAAACATGATGAACAAAACGTCAGATAAAAGTTGTGAAAAATATACCTGCCTACTTACTGAGTTCAACTTACATAACAAGGGGATACAAGAAAACACATACTATTTCTTTTAATGAACACTAGTGAGCATCACAAAGCAACGCGAATATCTTGTTAACTTGATTTATTTCTCCTACCGATTTCGTCTGATCACACATGCAGACAATAAATACGGTAATACTGTTGAACCTACGATAAGACGCCACACAAAATAATTGTAGAAAAGAATGCCGGGAAATTATATCTCTATTCATGCAGCGACAACATCTTGGCCGTCTCAATCATGAGAGCTCTTCCATTGTTGTCAACTTTATAAAGTGTTCATCAAGGGCTCGATACACCTAGTTTAGCTTCATTTCAAAAGTATGATGAAGGGATACAGTCCGAGATAGAAGTTGACGACCGATTGTGGACCAGTAATGCTTCTTTCGTAGCGCGTCTTTTTCAAAATAGTGATGTTTGTGCTAAAGAATATGCTAATTTATGACAAACCTCTATTGAGCGACCAACCTCCATTAAGCAGCCACTTGCTGATACTCCGAGGGTGGCCGCTTTACGGATGTCCAACTTTATAACGCAACAAAAAACATTACCGATTATACAGACGCAACAACTCTCAACATTTGTTAGCCCGAAAATGTTGGGAGTCGTTGGATAGTGTTGGCGGTGATGTGCAAACGGATGCAACAACTCCAGACGGGGGTGGAACTTAGAGTGCATCATGGGATGGATACGACCGATAAGGCTGTAAGCTTACAGAATTCTACAGCCATCTAAACTACCAGCAGTCTCCCTTTTTTTCATGTCGGTTGAGCAAAACGCGCGAGACACGAAAATGAACACGCGCGTGGCTGAAGGCGCGTGTTCGCACCTCACTAAATCTGAAGAAAAATAGAGACTGTTTGCAGTCTAACAGTTGGCATCTTGAATGACGTTCAACAAGGCCAGGCGTGGCCCCAACAACGGATTCAACAATACAGGGCTACGCTTCGGCGATCACAGAACAAAAGAAATATTGTTAGGAGTTGTTGACTCAAAGAGTTTGACCGGTTTCAAACTTTGCGCAACAACGTACAACAGGGAGTGCAAACGGACGCAACATGTAACACCCCACAATTTTAAGAGTTCTTGGCCAAACAGTTTCCGTCAGTTTGCAGGGAGCTTTAATTCAAGGAGATTACAACCTTTCCCTTCGTCTTGGAGTTGTGCCTAAGGCGAAAACACTTGTAAGCAAATTTGCTGGTCCACAAGAGACTAATGTAAACTGTCGCTTTGTAACTTAACCTTCGTGTGAGTGACTAGGCCTTTGTGTTTCAGGTGCAACCATCAATACGGGGATGGGGACAGATTCCGCTCCAAGCACGACAGGAAAATCAAGAATAATTCCATTAAAATTTTACCCATTGTCATTTGGAAAAAAGAACAGCACAGTCGTTTGAATACGCGACCATATGTGCGGGAGATTTAGAGTTTGATTCCCAGGTGCGGAACCTTCACCTTCACCACTGAAAGATAAAAATTTCGAGCAAAACTACCAAAATGATATATTTTATTCTTCATTTTTAAACGGTTTATGGCGTCTATGAGACGCACATGGCGCACCCAACATCGCTGAGTTCTATTACATTAACGAAAACAGTGCCATGCGTCAAAGTTTGATCACGTTTACTAGTTCATTTGCATATTGTGTCAGTTCTTTTCTAACAATCCATCGAGTTAGCCAACTCAAGAAATATCATGCCCATAGGTTAAAAGTAATGCATTTTTTTCTGCTTATACCATTGAATGTCAAATTAACAGTCTTTATCACCTTTATGATCCTTTTACGTTGGCGAAAACGTCTCAATACCACAGGTAATTGGAGATTAGTCAACGGCACAGAACAAACAGAATAACTAGACCCAGGTAACTAGACTGAACCATTGTCAAGATCGGTACAAAGTGAAACCTACCGCAGACGTCCCCACGATGACAGATTAAATATTTTTAAAACTTGAAGAGGAACGAAGAATAGAAAGGAAATATAGCGATACAAGACGTAACTGTTTATCGTGCCAATGTGGTTTTAGCAGTTGAAACCGCCGCGTATCCAATGAAAGTTATTCGTCAAAGCCTCCACTTCTGTGACACAAGCGTCTTTCCTTCCTCAGACACGAGAATAAGCATCCAGGTGTATATTCGACCTTCTTAAACAGACAATGACAGTCTCCACACGTATCAGACGAATTTCATCGTACTTTTCTTCAGCCTCAGACCTCCTTCAATAGTGCCTCTTCTCATCTTGGTCGTCTCTTGTGTTTTGTCTTCTTCTTTCTCTTTTGTTTTATAAGAGCCAAACTTCCAAACGCTAGCAAGAAAATAAAAACTAGTCAAATTAAAAACATTAAAACTCTCAGTGATTTTGTTACAAATAGTTATGGTGACTCCATCATCTTGTGAAAAATCACGAGTCCCTGTTCGGAACCAGTGAGTCACAGTTGAAAAATAATAAGGAGTCCTCAGTTGAAAATGCTTGGGCCTTTATATAACCAGACAGTTAATCTGAAAACAGATGCCCAAACTCTTTATTACAGTTTACTGAAATTAAAATATAGTCCTTCTATATATTTAAAGAACAAAAAAGACTAAAATAAATACGCATCTTTAAACAACAGCCACAGAAATCACAAGGACAGGATATTCTACCACACAACCTTTAAATCGATCGATCGTTCCATGCAAAATCTTGAAGAAAAGTTGTAGAAATCCAAAATTTGTTTGTCTCTACTACAAACATTGAAAAAAAATTATGTGCCTTACCAAATTCGCTTGCACCTTCAACAGAGTGACTATGAAATTAACTTTTCACAAACTATGCAAGTCAAACTGAGCAGAAAGTATTCCTAGATTTTCGCGAAAACCTCAGCATCTTGGTATAAAAATCTACTTCCCTGCAACCGAGTTACGTTCAAAAATTGATTTTATGGAGTGAGGTGTGACAGTCAGAGAGCGGGAAAAAATCACTACCCCACCCCCTAATAGTATTTTTCTGCTCACATCTTATAGCGCCGTCCCCATAATCTAAACGCCTGGAACAGGTTACGAGGCCAACCTGGCTTCCTGCCAACTAAAATTTACCGGGAAAAATTTTAGACAAATATATAGAAAATCTATAGCAAGCGTCTGGAGAAATTTAAGCACAGTATTTGTTAGTAGAATCCTTTGCTGTGTAGCTCAAGTTTACAAATCATTTTTTTTTCAGAAAAGCCGTTTTACGAAACTTATTCGACATTAGATTCTCATTCATACACTGTAATTTTTTACGTGGTTGCCTACTAGTCAAGATGGCTTCCAAAACCGTGACAAGGTCTATTTTCAATCACCAAATCTAAAATCGTGTGGCACTAAATTTTTGCAAGTTTTACGGATTTTTTCACCAGAAAAACGACAGTAAAAAAATTAAATCGCAAAAATAAGCCGTTTAACCCGCAGCCCCCAATTTTCGCGCGAAAAAAAAACGGAAAGGAAGCAACTTACCCAGTTACGCGGACGTTGGTTTGTCTGTATTTTGACTCAACTGAACGCGCAAAACTCGTGTAATTAACTCCCAGTGAGAAAAGCAGATTGGACCAATCGCAAAAATCAGTTCACGCAAAATACAACATTAAAACTCTCGCAGAAATTAACTGCCGCTTGGTATGTAAAAAAACTCACATTTACCCGCTGGCGAATTGTCGTCTCCTGTTGATACATTGGATTCTTCTTCCCAAGATAACCTACAAAGCACACGCACAAATGAAGTCCAGGTACAGCTAAACCACTATGCTGAAAATTAACTCACAAGGTGTCTGTGTTAATTAACCCCTGTAATCCCTATATCCACATACAAATTCTCCAGACTGATCTCCATACATTTCCTTAAAGAATTAGTTGAGAGAAATTGTTTTAAGATCACAGCAGTTTCCTTTAAGTGATCATTATAACCTTTACTTTTTGTTACGTATTGATATTATTGGAGAAAATTGACCTTGATCACTCTTGAGACTTAAATTAATAGTATTGTAACTCTAGTTATTGACATGATTGGTCAATTGAGCTGTGATGTCATGGACGCAAAGTTTAGCCGTGTCTCTAAGACACTAATTAAACATTACTTTCTTTTGTTTTTTCTTTCTGAATTATTAATTAATTATTTTGAAGATACGTTAAAAGGGATAGACGATAAAAATAGAGAAAATCTGTAACTAAACGGAAAGAGGAGAAAGACTAAGAGAAAGAAAGAAACTGAGGAAGAAAAGAGAGAAGGAACAGGATGAAAATGTAAGGTAGAAAACGTGTAACAAACTCAGTTAAGGATTACAATTCTAAGTGTTACTTTAAAAATAAATCGTTTTGTCCTTCTGAAATTCTCTAAACTACTTCACACTGTCGGAACACGTTCCACATTATTTATCACTGGTGCACAAGTCGCGGCTCCATACTGCTGAGTTAGCCGATCAGGCTTCTCGCAGAGTAGTTTTTGAACGATCCTCAAATTAGGCTTACTAATAAACCACTAATTAAGCAACACACAGGGTGCATTCATTTACAACAGACGCCAATAGCCGTCACTTTTGCAGTTGTTTTTACGCTTTCAAAAGTCTATGCAGCAAATGAGTGCACCTTATAATGGTTTATTAGCAAGCCTATAATTAATTCTTATCTGCCTTATTCCTATTTTTTATTTTTCCTTTTTGGG